ATGACCATACCTTTGTCTATGGTGATTAGAACGACGTAAAAATCCCTGCATCAACGGTTTCGACGGGTCGAAGACGTCTGCTAGTTTTAACATTGATTCAAGAGACAAGGAATTTACTTCTGGTTCCAACATGGCTACATTCCGTATGGCAAGCTGGGGTTTAACTAATAATAATTTTACTAGGTCTTCGGCTGATAGACATTGTAGATAGCTACCTGGAAATAAAGAAAAATTCCGAAGAAAATAAAACCCAGTAAAACTCAGTTGCATTGAGAAATAGGAAAGAAAGAAATGAAGCAGGGTTCAAAATCCTCTCTACCAGCTGGTTCTTAACCAAACCTCTTGGTATCGATCTTGTCTGGACTATCTGTTTCCATTTACTGTTTGCTTCTTCTTAAGAGGTATTTTTCAAGAATCAAAGCAATGGACATACCTTCACCAGCTTTAAGAAGATGAGCATGAAAGCCCCGAGATATGAGATCTTCTAACAAAACAAGAGGTATATCATAACGTCCATAATCTTGTAATAAATCTAGACCCTCCATTACTAAACCTCGTGCCTGAAATTCAACGTGTCAGAAAGTATCAAACTTTGAAAGAAACCCACGAAAATAACAAGTTTAAATTCACAATATTTGAGAAAAAAAGTCAGACATACCTTTGCAAAGTCTAGCAGTAATTCCATAAAACCAAATTTAGCCAACAGATTCAGGGCTAACTTTTCATCAAATGTAAAGCTACCCAGCAAGAAGTTCCTATAACAACAGCAAAATATAACATTATTATCTACGTGGACTCTCTAAAAGGGATGCTGAGTTGACAAACCTAAATACCAAATTAACATTATTAGCTATGTGGACTCTCTGAAAGGGATGCTGAGTTGACAAACCTAAATACCAAATTAACATTATTAGCTATGTGGACTCTCTGAAAGGGATGCTGAGTTGAAAAATGCAAAATGAAGTTAATATACAGGTTTTGTGGACTCTCTGAAAGAGATTTTGAGTTGACAAACCCAAATAGCAAAGTAAATGTGAACTCTGTGAATGAGATGCTAATTTGGCAAAAACAGTTGCAAAGTGACATCAATTGTTCCGTTTGGTCTCAAGAAGAGAAGAGAAATGACGCAAAAGGGCAGGCAACCCTAAAATGTAATAGCCTTAAACAACAAGCATAAGGACTGGCAAAATCAAGGGTTATATATAGAAATAGACTCAAGCCCCTTCATGAATCAATCAAGCACTAACCTGAAGGGTTCAATAAGTTGGCTAGGTGTATCAGTACAGGAGTATATTTCATGTATATAACATTTCAATGCCAAGTTAGACAACTGTTTTCTATCACTAGTACTCAGTACTATATGACTACTACCTAATACTTTCTGCAGAACCTCCATTGCTGTACTGTAATGTTTATACTTTAATAGGCTAGACACTCTTTTAACATAGGAACACTGTAATCAGAAAAATAAGTCAAAGAATTTTATATCCTACTGTATCTTATTGGACTAATGAAATGAATTAGAGTTTTATATCCTACTGTTCTGTACCTTATTGGACTAATGCAATGAAATAGAGTTGTATATCCTACTGTTCTGTACCTTATTGGACTAATGAAATGAATTAGAGTTTTATATCCTACTGTTCTGTACCTTATTGGACTAATGAAATGAATTAGAGTTTTATATCCTACTGTTCTGTATCTTATTGAACTAATGAAATGAATTAGAGTTTTATATATCCTACTGTTCTGTATCTTATTGGACTAATTAAATGGAGCTTTATATCCTACTGTTCTGTGTCTTATTGAATTGTATGCCAACTGGACACAGATTTGAATTCTGAAAAGTGACACAGTAGGCTGAAATTGACCCACCTTGGAGAGTTTGTAGAGACATAAAGCCTGAGTTGTATTGTTTAACACCAGAAGATGATCAGCCGCTATTTCAAATAAATTTGACAGATTCAGACCGATACTAATTCCTAGTGATTCCGAGACGCTGGCATCATTATTCTTGACTGCTAATTTTAAAAATAAACGCTCAGGAGATACTCTGAAAGCAAACACAGATCATCATTTTATATCAAAAAAATGTCTTTATCTAAGTTGAAGCACCAAAAAATTGCAAACCAAGGCTACAATGCTATCAGCATCTTTACAATGTCAAGCTATTACGTAATTCATTCTTATACCTTGACTGCAAGAGCCACTTTTCTTGTATCAAGGAATGCAGCAATTTGATGGGACTGTACAGCTGCAAATACAGGCAATCATAGCCTGGCTCTATTCGCTAATGTACAATCCAATCAAATAGCTGCATTTACAAATTTGTGTAAATCCAATATCAAAGTTACTTTGTTTCTGACAATATTTCCAAACACAACATACCTGGGTCTACATTCAAACACTGAAGAATTAGTGACAACAATACAACCATCTAATACAGTATGAGATGATAGTCGTATGGAATCTAAAGAAGATACAGAGTTATCTTTCTTGTTGTCAAGATCTTCAGCCTCTGCTCTCTCA